TAAAAAACAAGTAGCCAGTTGGCTGAGATAGCCCCGCTGTTAGCAATGCACATCTCAATTAAAGAACAGAAGATATCATTAGAAAATGAACAATATGTATAGTATCAAAGCATTGTTGGCGATTTTTAACAAGAAGTCAAAAATATCACTTTTTACCAAAAATGACAAAAATATTCATCAAAATTAGAGAATTAAAGATATCATTACAAAATGAACAAATCTGAGAGCAGTCCACATGTAGTACATATATAAGTAATATCAAAGCAATTGAACTTGCGGTTTTTAACAAGAAGTCGAAAATATCCCTATTTACCAAAAATGACAAAAATAATCACCAAATTTAGAGAATTGAAGATATCATCATGAAATGAACAAACCTAAGAGAGGTCCACCCAAGGTACATATACACGAAGTATCAAAGCATTCAGGCTTGTAGTTTTCAAGAAGAAGTTGAAAAAGTAAAACATTGACACAGACGACGAACGATCACTCATATGATAAGCTCCGCTCGACAAAGTCGACAGCGGAGCTAAAAATCTTGGAGTATTTGTAGTTCGTTTTTTTTTTCTATCCAATCATGGACAGAAATAACAGAAAATGAAAAAAAACAACATCCAAGGCGAGGAAATGGTTTGGTCCGAGTGTAAATATGTGTGACAAATGAGGTGCATTTGTAAAGTCGTTTTACACCCACCCGACAACCAACTGCTACAATGTATGCCATACTCCTGTCCGATTATCCACTTGTATTTAATGGTGAATATAGTCTGACGCCATGACCAATATTTATCAATTAAGTTTCAGTGGGGGGTGGGGGGTTTTTGAAAAAAACTAAAGGAATTAAGTTTTTTATCCGACATCGATGTTTTGACGCCGTCCCTTATGTAACAGTTTCAATGTTAGAAATACTATTCAACAGTTTGTTGAATGTGATTTCATTGAATTATTCATCTATTAAAAATAAACTGCTTACCTTTGGTGTTCTTGCATCAGGTGGTCTTGCAAATAGCTCATCGTCAGATATCTGATTTAGTAAAAGTATTAATTAGGAAGGGTTATATGAATACATGATACTTTCTAATAAACATACAGTAAAGTAGTTTCCAATTTTCAGATCACACTATCCTAGGTGCGATTACTGCAGTCATCACTATCCTAGGTGTGATTACTGCAGTTATCACTATCCTAGGTGCGATTACTGCAGTTATCACTATCCTAGATGCGATTACTGCAGTTATCACTATCCGAGATGCGATTACTGCAGTTATCACTATCCGAGGTGTGATTACTGCAGTCATCACTATCCTAGGTGTGATTACTGCAGTCATCACTATCCTAGATGGATTACTGCAGTTATCACTATCCTAGGTGTGATTACTGCAGTTATCACTATCCTAGATGCAATTACTGCAGTCATCCCTATCCTAGATGGATTACTGCAGTTATCACTATCCTAGGTGTGATTACTGCAGTTATCACTATCCTAGGTGTGATTACTGCAGTCATCACTATCCTAGGTGCGATTACTGCAGTCATCACTATCCTAGGTGCGATTACTGCAATTATCACTATCCTAGGTGTGATTACTGCAGTCATCGCTATCCTAGGTGTGATTACTGCAGTCATCACTATCCTAGGTGCGATTACTGCAGTCATCACTATCCTAAGTGTGATTACTGCAGTCATCACTATCCTAAGTGTGATTACTGCAGTCATCACTATCCTAAGTGTGATTACTGCAGTCATCGCTATCCTAGGTGTGATTACTGCAGTCATCACTATCCTAGGTGCGATTACTGCAGTCATCACTATCCTAGGTGTGATTACTGCAGTCATCACTATCCTAAGTGTGATTACTGCAGTCATCACTATCCTAAGTGTGATTACTGCAGTCATCACTATCCTAAGTGTGATTACTGCAGTCATCACTATCCTAGGTGCGATTACTGCAGTCATCACCATCCTAAGTGTGATTACTGCGTCATCACTATCCTAAGTGCGATTACTGCAGTCATCACTATCCTAGGTGTGATTACTGCAGTCATCACTATCCTAGGTGCGATTACTGCAGTCATCACTATCCTAGGTGGGATTACTGCAGTCATCACTATCCTAGGTGTGATTACTGCAGTCATCACTATCCTAGGTGTGATTACTGCAGTCATCACTATCCTAGGTGGGATTACTGCAGTAATCACTATCCTAGGTGTGATTACTGCAGTCATCACTATCCTAGGTGCGATTACTGCAGTCATCACTATCCTAGGTGTGATTACTGCAACCAAAGAAACACATCCGTAATATATGTAAGTACATATATTTAAGTACATGTACATAAAGCAAATACAAGTTCAAGAGAATAATAATGTCTTACCTGAGAACCAACAGGCACACTTTCAGAAGGTCTGGTACCATTGTAAATATGAAATCTAAGAAAGATGTGATAAGAAAAAGGTTATAAAGTACACATCTAGTTTACTCGTCAAATCATTGTTGAGTTGGCAAGAATGTTAGAAATTAAATAGAAAAAAATATAAGCTTACTTTGAAAGAGGATTCAATGCCATAGCTAACAGATCCAACAACGGCATCCAATCTTGTGAAAGCTTTGTCACACAAAGTTCTACCAGTCTTTCTGTATTTCTCATAATACAGCGCTACATGGATAAGTTATAACACAAAACGTTAAGGTTATAGCAGACAATGCTTTGATATCTTTATACACTATGAAATATTAATGCACTAACTGGGTGATTCAGAGATATTTTTAATTAACAAAACGCTGTTCATAAAATTGACATGCCATAGATTTCATATGGGAGCCAAGGTAGATGCATTCGTTTGTCATTGATGGCAATGAATGCTATACACCATAACTGGCTTGCTTCAAAACTAAACTAATAGTTGCTGTCGACATAGGAAGTAAAATAAGCAAATAACACCAAATAAACGGCAAGGTAAAGACTATGTCTAATTATAGTAAATACGTACTG